ACTTAACCAGTGATATAGCTGAGGTAGAAAATGATAAAAATAATGAAGCTTTCAAGGAAACAAAGGGAAGGAAAACTAAATATAGAACAGCAAGTGGAGGTGGCGACAAGGCCTTATATGGACCAAAGTTTCTGATGCATTGGAATTGAAAAGTTACTAAATTCAATAGCATAGGTGTCAAAAAGTTGGCAACCCATAACAAACTGATAACCAATCATAGTGAAACTAGAACCTCAATTTAAGCAACACCTGTTTTTGGCCAAAAAACAAATTGTTTGACAGATTAGATTCAATGTCAACCTATAGTTTTTTCAAAAACTAAGCTCTCGATTTGATCTTCACAAACTTTATTTTGAAACATATCACATTTAGTTTTTGAAATTACTATGGATCTTCATTAAGTAACGGCCGAATCAATCAGAAAATTGTCCTAGAGTGACACCTTCTGAAAGAGAAACTACGCAACACAAAACCTATCTGAAAATACAAAGCTCCGTATCATTTTTTTATGAATAAAGAACCCAGCGGAGGACAACCATTTGACCACATAATATCACACGATCACAGCTCTAGCTCCAAAATTCCTTTAGTATAATGAACATGAATATACAGGGATTGTCCAAAAAAATTTCCAGATTAGAAATATTACTCGCGAAGCATGACGCCTGAAACAAGGTGTAAGACAGGAATGGAGAATTTGAGCTTTGGCAACTATAAGGAAATGAACGCATACTGTCGCAGAAGACATAACATTTGGAAAACTATATTTTAGCAGAATGTGTATAGGAAAACTTTTTGAAGTATGCTGTATATAAACCAATTAATCTGAGGTGGGAAAAATCATTATATGTACAATATATCAAAAACAAAATTCTGATTTCGAACTATTTGTGGCAAAGTTGGACGAATTCGTGAATGATATTTATTGAAATTATTACTCATATCTAATATATAGAGATGTGAATGTGGATCATCTTTCCTCTCGCTTGCAAAAGCAAATGTTGCTCAACATAATCAGTGGGTAAGATATGAAAAAAAACAGCTATACTTCCTATATGTATTACATAGTTCAGTAAAACTTGCATTGATAACATCTTTACCAATATTCCAATTGTTACAAAAATATCAGATTATACATATTAATTAAATTCTTTCGATATCAGCCAGGAAACTGATAACTTCAATACGATGGGTAGAAAATTTTGTCAAGACAGGATTCATAATTTTAGTGAAAATATATTGCCTGTAGACTGGGTTACTATTTTAGATTATAAAAGAGACTGTCAGTGATCTTTCTCTCCTTTTTACAACAAATTTCTTGAAGTAAGTATTTGAGTTATCCTTCTCAGTAAATACATAACTCCAGAAATCAAAGATCTGTCAGAAATTTTTAGGGACACAGCAGAAACCGCAAGAATATTAAATAATAATAATTATGCACTGAGACATAATGAAAAAATATTACGAAAACTTAGTCACTTTTACAAAGAAAACATTTACAGGATACTGAACTTCAATAACATGAATCGCGAATGGTGGAATATAATGAAAGAAAATACAAACAAAATAAAAATAATATAATTGCAATAGAAAATAGAAAAGGCAAAGTTATAAGAAATGGTAAATATATATCTTACTATTTCAACCAATACTTTGTAGAGAAAAATTAAAATAATAACATAAGTCATATCTCAAATATTAATTCTCAGCTCCGCTCATTCTATCTGCACCGCACCGATCCCTAAGAATATTATAGGACTATCATGAAAGTTGGTAAAATCACCGAGTGTACATGATAAACCAGAAAACATCATGAAGGATGTAAGTAATATTTTATCATACCCACTTAGCGTTCTAATAAATAGAAGTTTTTGTGAAGGCAGATACCCTTTTGAAAATATTTAGTAGAAGTACTCAAGGGTTATCTCACTGTACAAATAAGAAGAATAGAAGGAGAGCCAAAAAATATAAAGCGGCAGCGATTCAGTGTCATATAGGTAAAATATATTAATACTGTCCAAAAAATATAAAGCGGCAGCGATTCAGTGTCATATAGGTAAAATATATTAATACTGTTACAATTTAAGACCCAACAACTATCTTGAAAAATTAAATATTCTAGATGGCTCTCAGCATGGGTTTAGAGTTAAAATGTCGCCAAGGAAGCATTGAACAAAAAATAAAATATGGAAGTATTCGTCAATATGACAAAGTTGAACATAATTTATTAGAAGCTAAACTATATCAGAAAGGTGTTAAAGGCCCTTGTTTGTACTGGATAATTCCATATCTGTCAAGTAGAAGCCAGCAAGTTGAGATCATCGGGGTTAGATGAGAACCTATTGAAATTCAAACAGGAACATCACCATGTTTATCGCCCACATTATTCAATATTTTTATGACTGGCCTACCCAAAGAACTAATCAAAACAGTCTATCGAATACTTTATGCGAATGATACTAAATTTAATTCTCTCAGGACAATCAAAGAAAGAATTACAAATCACATACAATGAGTCTTGGAGATTCAATAATAATTTTTTTTAATGTAAACATGTAAATAGCTGTCCAATTTAGCATGAAAAATGTAACAGTAAATGAAAGTATTTTACTAGTTCGGATTTCCATCGTCTAATATGATATTGAAATCTCTGAAAGAACAAATAAAATAAAAAACTAAAATGAATAGCTGAAAATAACAATTTTATTGAGCAATAAATACAATGAAATGAAAATAAGCAAAAATTAAAAATTGAATAACTAGTAAAATTAACCATGAAATATTGTCAACCACTTTAAAAAAAACGAAAGTATGTTACTTAAAACCGAAGGAAAAACCCTAGAGACCTCGGCATGTACAACATCTTTAGGTGCCTATCTATATCAAAAACTCAATTGGAATGATCATGTTGAGCATACAGCCTCACAATGAAGTTCGTATTGCTTCATTATCAGAAACTTACGTAATACAGTGTCAATCAAAGTTCTCAAATTGCTGTACTTTTCTCAAATTGCTATTCTATTCAGTCATGCCTTTCATATGGTCTAGTTTTCTGGGGAAAAGCCCATAATTCTGGCCAACTATTTGTCATTAAAAAAAGTTATACGCTGCATGTTGAACTCGCCTAATACAGCTTCATGTAAAGGCCCCCTTGTTGAATTGGGCATTATGTCTTTATCAAGTTTCTATATTTACTCTTCAATTGTTTACATTATTAATAAACATGACACTCTTAAGACAAGAAAGGACAAATACAGTCATACGTAACAGAAGAACAAATTCAATTTAGAGGTTTTTCCAGATTATCAATCGGGCAGGAAAATCCCATTTATATAGGAATCAGATGCTATAATAACATAGGTGCATTGATATAGTTTTTTGATACAGAAATGCTACTAATCATTGCAGGAATTTCTCAATAACTTTGACACATATCACATGAATCATGAGAAAAATAGATACAGAGGAAGATCTGAATTAATTTTTGAAATGTTACTTGTCATTATATAACACATATTTAAATTGGGAGAGGTATATTTTTAGGAGGGATTATTTTTTGTGAAAGAAACGTTTTGGCTTTAGGATCTCTCCTATTGAACTCCTCAAAAACATTTCGCTGTAACTCCTTACATCACCTTTTGATAATCATATTATTTGGATACTCTCTTGAACATTTAAATAATACATCCGAAGCAACTAACATCAAATAAAAGGTTTTGGTCTGCTTTCTAACGATAATATAATTCTAACATATAAATCTGTACCTACCAATTACTGAAAAAATCATATCTGGTTATTGCCGAAAACTGATTAATAATAATAATAATAATAATAATCATCATCATCATCTTTATTTCAGAATATGTCAACAATACAATAAACATATAATGACGTCACTGAGGGTTACAAGACACAATAATCTTGCGTAAATAGAAATATAAGATAATTTTAAAAATTATGATTAAAATACTCCGGAATATTATAGGTTCCAGATGTATGAGTACCCTTTTTATTTCTCTTTTGAATTTATTGATGCTGACCAATGCTTTTATTCCATCTGGTAATTTATTGAACAATCTAATGCACATGTATTGTGGGCTATTTTCAGTTACCGTGAGTCTATGAACAGGGTAGTTGATATTTCTAGTCCTAGTTTCATATTTGTGAGGGATGTAATTTATAATAAACAAAGATTTATTTTTAAAAAAGAACATTAAACATTCATAAATATAAATTGCATAAATGGTCAATATATTGTTTGATCGGAAAATACTTCTGCATGATTCCCTATATGGCATATTTAAGATTATTCTTAACGTTCTCTTCTGATTGATTAACACTTTTTCCGTATCAGAACTGCTTTCCCAAAACATGATGCCATATTTAGCAGCTGCTTCAAAGTTTGCATGATACATAATTTTCATTGAACTGCAATTTAGAAATCTATTGAGAGTTCTCATGGCAAACACGACTGAATTTATTTTCATGCATAATTTTGTTATTTGCTCAGACCAGCCCAAATATTCATTAATGTAAACACTTAAGATTTTGGTACAATTTCAATTGGTTTTTATATACAAAAATATTCCAAAGAAAGGAAGGAAGCAATCAAACCTCATTAAAGTTCTTAATGTTTGGTCATATCAAATTAGATGTATGTGAAAAGTTCTCCATATCAATAGTCTATGAATCTTCTACTTTGCTGAAATTTAATCCGGTCTTTTATACAGCTCTCGCGATCCACCTCAGTTCCTCACGGGTACAATGCTGATACTAAAAATTATTTTTCAGTTTTATTCAATAGATCCTGGTATGATAAAAACTTCGCTTTAAACTTCATTGAAGTGTACGAAATTTGTTTAGAATTTAGAAATGAAGTGTGGAAACTGCTTTATTGACTGCTTACCACAAGTTTCAAATATTCTCTCAATCAGGTCTTCATTAACTATATGTAATTTTCTTGAATAATATACTTATTTAGTTTTCTTTCACTTTTCCAGTTTTCATTTAGACCATTGTGGAGCATTACCTTGGTTTTTGCTGAAAACTAGTTTTAAAGGACGTTGTTTCATGACACATGCTACAAAGGCTATCTACAGATGGTTGCTGTCAGATTACATCAAAGTCAGGTGAGTGCATTATTATATGACTAGTAGTATTTTGAGAAAGTTTGTAGGAGTCTCCAATATCATCTAATTTTCACATATACGTTTGGTTTTCATGATAATTTATGATCAATTGAATACCGCTTTTTTAATTCAATATGGCGGCCTCTATAAGATGGCGATTTATCATTTCTACAGTAAGCCTTATGATATTGATATGAAACGAAAGAGTTTAATTAGTAGGATACAATAAAAAAAGTAATATCATTGGGGTGCTAGATAGCTCAAAACTTACAGGAAAATAACATAGTAATAATGGTTAGGTTAGCAAATTATTTCCTTCAGAAAGTTCTATAAAATTATCCCTACACTTTTTTTAGTATAGTTTGGGAATAAATTGAGAATTTGAATTTATGTAGATGGAAGATGAGCTGGAACAATGTCATTTAAAAATTGTTAGAAAAACTTTTAAAAAACCTTCATTGTCCAAGCAAGTACAAGACTCACTTACAGGATAGCTTGAACAATAATCAGTTAACAATAATAATGATAGAAAAATTATCGAACAACTCATATACTTTTACTCAAGAACTTGTTGTCAAGTGAAAGACATAATGCATAGGTTTCATAATAGCAATACAAACATCATTAAATAATTGAATAATTTCATATCATGATAGTGGAGAAAAGATAATAGAAAATTAATTGTTCAATTTATGATGTGATTAACATTCAAGTATTAAATATATTATTCTTTATTCCTTGCTTAAACAGTATAATGAGTGCTGAAAATAGATCACATAATTGACTGAATTTATTACATAAAGAATGAATTGGAGATTTGCCTAAATTAGATAACTTTTGTTATAGTTAATTTATACTTTCCAATAAAGTACATAAAAACACAATTGAGATAATGACTCTGGACAATGGATGAGTTTGTAGATAAATATGCATGAATGATAGGTTCTATGATTTCCTAACAATAGTAGTGAAAATCTAGTCAGAGATAGATAGATATTTATTTGCTCCTACTTGCCACTCTTACATGGTTCAAGTAAGTCAGTAACTTATATAAATAAAAAGGTAAATATATTAAACATATGGATTATGTACGTCGTTCAATGGTATACTATGTTTTTCGAAAATGTGCATTTTTGAAAAAGCCTTCGTTCTCAGCCTTCGTCGAGGACGGATGTGTGTGCTGAAGCGGTGTAAAATAACAGTAAAAATTTGTTCAAGGAATTTATTGAAATGTTGGTGCTAATATTGGATATATGAAAAGTGACCTGTGAATGCATTCAACTATAAATTGGAGCCTTTTATACTCAAGGATATAAATTTTTCTGTAAAATCCAGAAAATAGGTGATATAGACACAAATGCAAGCTCAAAAAACTAATTTAGTAACAATTCGTGTATAGGATTTAGCATTTCTAACTTGGAATATATTTAATATTGAGTGGAAAGACTTTTTCGGAAAGCGAATTCCACTGTCAATAAAAATATTTCTATCAGGAAAATATAAGCATTAGGAGGTGAGTTGTGTTCAATTCATACATATTCGACAAATTTCTTGTCGAATACAACCCGATAAGATAAATTTTTCAGGTCGGTTATCAAAAAAGCAGATAAGATTCTGGCGAATTTTATTAATGCTAAGGCCCCGTTTACACCAAACCTGAAATATTGAAATCAAGAAAATTATAAATAATGAACGGTTAGATGAGTTTGACATTTTCAAACCTAGACACTCAACGAATAGAACGCCTCCACCAAAAACGCCAGTGTTGGAGGAGATAATGGACGAAAGAAACACCAAGAAGGCAAAAATGATAGCATTCTACATGAGGCCAAAATCGTCATGGAGGAAATGGTCGCGGCCATTCAAAAAGCCACAACTAGATTCTCAAGTGGCAAGATGCAATAGGTCACATGCATATTTTTTTCTAATTGTTCTAATCGATTATATAATGCATACAAATACTGGAAACATGAGATAGATGCCAAAAACATGAATAATTAGTCAGAAAAAAATGTATAAAATTGTATATATTGACAATTCAAACGGTCGACCATTTGGCGGGAATATGTGACGTCAAAGTACATGTCAACAAAGCGATCTAAAGCACAGAGAAGTAAACATAGTTGATTCTATATTGTATTACTTGATAATTTCAATAAATTAAAGATGGAAAGTAGTGGAAAATCAGTGTATAAGTACTGCATAGTTCCAAAGTACAACAATACAACGAAAACTGCTCCTCAAAAAGTATTTTTTCTTGTGCCGAGGAATGCAAACATTCAATTAAAGTGGTGTAAAGCTATAAAAAGGGACGAATTTAAGAACCCGAAACTGTCTGCAACGAGCTGCTTATACTGTTGTGAAGATCACTTTGATGTAAGTATTTTTATATTTACATAGGTATATTTATATTTAGTGTCATAGTCTAAAACACTAATAAACATATTTACTTCTCGAATATAAAATCTTTCTGACTGCTGTTATTCTTCATTTTCAGGTAGAAAAGGATACAGAGAACTTCATTCAGTGCCAAATAATGAATAAACAAGGGGTACCTGTTACATTACGTCTACGTAAAGGTATTGTGCCCCACAAATTTCAGTGTCAGAAAGTAAATAGGCCAAAACCTGTGAAAAAGGCTGCTCTTAAAAGATAAAGACTTAGGTTGCTTCAAGAGAATCACCAGAGAAATAAATTATTGTGAAGCTGGTCCTAGTTCATATTCACACGACGTTTTCTCAACAGAAAATAAAAGCCTTGATTGTGACAAAGCCGTTCAAGTTATCACAATGAAGCCAAAGACACTAAAATATAGAAGCAAAGGTGTCACTGTTGGTCCTAAGACAAAAAATGTAGCATTATCACCGTTTCTAGTACCAGTTAAAAACACATCAACTTCAGCTATTAAAACCGCCCAGAATACCAGTATGAAAAGGAAGTTATTCCCAGATACAAAACCAACAGACGATTCATCTATTACATCTCAATCTTCATCAATCTCTATCTCAATCTTCATCAATCTCTAGTGAGTATGAACAAGAAACTACTTCTTCCGAAGCGAGTTGGTCTCAAGATAACAAGGTCAGACAATTTCAAAATGTAATGCGTAGTACAAAATTGTCCGCTGTGGAAAAAGAGCCTGAAATGATGTTAGGACTGTCTAAAGACAGTTACCATTTGATAAAACTATTAAGCTATAATATCCCAGTTCCCACTATTGACATTTTAATAACCTTGAAGAAAATAAAGTTAAATGAATCATTTGACATATTAGCTATACAATTTGGCTATACACAGAGCACTATAAGTAGAATATTTTCGAAAACAGTAATTGTTCTAGCAGAAAAAATGAGGAAGTTAATTGTGTGGCCTAAACCATCTGACATAGTTAAAAATTCACCTATCGCTTTTAGAGTACGAGAAATTGAAAAACCGTCGAATGCAATCCACCAGTCTCTGTTGGTCACAATATAAGAAATGTTATACTCTGAAATACCTTATTTCTTGTACTCCAGATGGGTTAGTCAATTTTATTTCAGAAGGATATGGTGGAAGGGCTTCTGACATCATTATAGTAGAAAATTGTGGCTATCTAGAATGTTTACCTCCAAACACAGCTGTTATGGCAGACAGAGGCTTCAAAGACTTGTCTCATTTGATAGAAAATAAAAAATGTACCCTTATTCGGCCTCCTTCAGTGTTCGAGTCTACAGCAAGTACAAAATATGAGGTGAAGCAGTCCAAAAGAACAGCAGCATTAAGAATTCATGTAGAGCGTGTAATAAACAGGTTGAGAGAATTTCATATGTTGTTGCCTCACGCATGTATGTATACATCACAGCTTAGTTCCGATAGTAGATGAAGTAATAGTAAGAGCATGTGGCATAATCAGTATGCAAAACGTTTCAATAAAAAAATAAATAAAATTTTCAAGTGTTTTATTTTTATTCATATTGGTGTGGCACACCCGGAAGGTACCTTATTTTCAATGTACAAACTCCAAATAGAATGAATATAGGTTACAAGTAACGCTAACTGACAACTAAAATTTCAATTGCTCCTCATACTATGATTTATTTGATATTTTTACATATAATAGGAAAAATAGCATTACTCCAGAAGAGCATGCTTTTTTCCAAAATATTTGAACAATAGTTATCATAATTTACAATATAAATGTCTACTTCCTTCGATATTTCAAAATCATGATGTGCAACACAGAAAAGCCCTTTTTTTATTTGAAAAATACATCTGCATTTGGACCTGAGCCATATATTTTGAGGACATAACATCTTTTGAAACATATCTATTCATGGCTTTCTCAGATGATGTACATTTGATTTCAATACTGTAATTAATACTGTCACCATCAGGAGATGCACCAAATACGGAATAATTAGGGTTTAAGATCAAACCACACCCATCAATTTTTAGTTTCATTTTTTTTTCGACTTCTTTCAATACTTTTTTCTCTAGCAAACGCCCTCTTTTCATCGCCTCTGTGTCCTTTAATTTAATTGCTCCCATTATACTTTCACATAAGGTGCCTTCGAAAACTTTGCAGTGTGCTGCTTCATGCATCTTCGAAGCAGTAATCCTAGCATACCGTAGCTCATGCCACAGGGGACAGTCATTCTGATCAATTATAGCTAGATTAGCTTCATTGCAAGATGATGTGTCCATCATACTCCTGCAATAGTTGATGAACTCTGTGGCGTTAGCCGGTTTATTTGGTAGTGTAGTTACTAAATGATGAATGGATAATTTTTCTACTCTGCTTTTTTCCTTGTAGTATTTCATGAGTTGACTTTCCATGTGACCGATGCTTTTGCTATGTTTTATTAAAGTTGGCAGTAGGCTTTGAGTATTGGCAGATGGAGCAGGTTTGGCTTTTGAACTACTACCTAACTCTATAGCTCTTATACAGACTTCAAAGGAATGACATCATATCTAAAGAAACATACACAAGATACTGCACAATACTTAAAAAAGTAGTACAGGAAGCAAAAAAATGGCCAATATAAAATATCTGCAATCATCTTCTAACAGGTCTAAAGCAGTATGGAATCTAGTAAAGAACTATACTGGTGGTGGAAAGAAGCAGCTTGATTCTGTAATAGATAATGTTTTTCTGAATGAAAATGGCAAAAAAAGCACTTTGCAAAGTCAACAATTTTTTCTTACATAATTGTCCAAATATTACAAATCAAAATCATTGAAGTGGTTTTCTAACCTCTCCCGTTTACAAACAAAGCATATTTTTCAAACGTGTTGATTCGAAAGAAATATATGACATCAAAAACCTTAAGAACACTGAATCAGTAGGCGAAGATGGAATCCCTGTCAAATTACTGAAACATAGCACATGAGATTCGTAAGCCTTTTTCACATATAATTAATCTATGTTTTTCAACGGGTATTTTTCCAGATAATTTAAATATAGCATATGTGAGAGCTATATATAAAAAAGGCGAAAAAAGTGAGCTCAGCAACTACAGACCTATTGCACTTCTTCCCAATATCAGTAAAGTTTTTGAAAAATGTATATACATGAAATTAATAACCTTTCTGGAGGGGAATAATCTTCTGTCTGATACCCAGAATGGTTTCAGGAAAAAGAAATCAACCAGTAGAGCAACCTATCAGGCTTTATGTAACATAATAAATTCCATCAACAAAAATAAAATTACAACAGCTGTTAATTTGGACCTGTCAAAAACCTTCGATAGTGTTGAGTATGAAATATTGGGTGTCAAGTTGTCAAATTATGGTATACGAGGTTTGACTCTCAAATTAATCAAATCATATCTGGAAAATAGAAGGCAGTGCGTGATTCAAAGGGATTAAATGAACGGCAAACTAATAACATCAATTAAAGAGAAAATAATCAGAGGGGTACTCCAAGGGTCAATCTTGGGTCCTTTACTCTATATATTATATACTAATAACGTATCAGACGCTGTGAATGAATTTATGGTGCAATATGCTGATGATTGCTCTGTGATTTTTAGTTCAGATGATGCTTCTTCTGAAAAAAACAATATCTTTTTCTCCCTGAACCTGCTAGAAAACTACTTTTCAGCCCATAATCTGAAATTGAATACCAATAAAACGCATGCCATAACGTTCACACGAAATGGTACTATTAGTGTTTGTAATCTCAGTAATGGATCAACAACATTGGGATCTTCTCCTTAATTGTCTTTTCTGGGCTTAACAATTGACTCAAAATTGAACTGGAAGAGTCATATAAATAATATTGCAACAACTTTATCAAGATACTGTTTTGCTTCCCTCTGACCATAAACTCCATTTTTCAGTGTACCCCATAAGAATGTATCCATAAGACTTAAGTCTGAAGACCTTGCTGCCCACTTCACCGGCCCATTATTCCCTATCTATTTATCACCAAACCTTTCAGTCAGGTAATTAGATACTCGTCTGGTAGTGTACGGTGGAGCACCATCATGTTGAAACCAGATGTTGTTATAGTTAGTCAAAGGTAGATCATCCAAATAGTCTTCAAAAATCGACATTAAAAACTGGTGATAGGTTTTTTCATTCAGAATTCCGTCAAATAAATGAGGACTCAAAATTTCAAATGTGTTCGTTATTTCGGTTGAATATCCCACAATTCGGAAAAGTGCTTTTATCTATCCAAATTATATTTTCCAGGAAAACAGAAAAATCCGGTCTTATTAGCCAATTACAAAATTCTAATCGTCTTTCGGGATCACCTGGATGCAATAATTGAGATATGTGTAGTTTGTAAAACTTTGAACCGCTCTTTTTGAGATGGCTCCAAACACTTGTATGACAAGTTTTCATTTCGAAGGGAATTTGACGTGTAGATTTCCCCGGATTCATGTTTATCTGCAAATTATTAATTTTATTGTAACTTGTAAATTTTCTTTAGTTTTCTGGTCCATTCTGTCTCCATATTTTTTCCTCGGCTTTTCAAATGAACCAAACTCGGTGAGATTTTGATCCAATAACTTGAACATAGTTCGATGTGGTTGTCGTCTTTCGGAATACAAGGTTAAATACATTTCCGATGTCCTAACACTGTATAATATTTGTAATAAATTTGTATCATATCTCTTTTTCTTCATTCGTGAAAGCCATTTTTCGCCAAAAATTCAATGACTGTACAATAACAAAATGTCATTGAGTGTAACAAATTGAAAATCAAATTTAGAAACATCAAAGTCAAAGCCTATTATGATAAGAATTAATATTTTTCAATACCTCAAATTTTTCGAAAAAGAATGATAACTTATGATACATCATTGGAAAGGTAAAAGTCTGGTTCTATTCAAAACACAAAGAATGCAATGTAGCGTCCAAAAGAAAAAATAAAGTTGATGATGTGGCCGGAAGACGAAACGTCGAATAGCCAATCTGAAAACACCATTATGTAGCAGGGAAAAAGTGGTAACGTGGAAGTGCAATTTATTTTCGAATCCTTCGAAAAATAAAGCCACAAAAAAATAAATACCATTTTTCGAAATTTCTGTTTTTCCGGATATCTCCGGATATACTCGAAACTTCAGAACTTTCTAAATGTGCAACTTTGCCCCAATTTAACCATTTTCGTATTTTCATAGTTTCCGAAATCCCAATGGTGAGTATCGAATTTTAAACACCCTGTGTGGTATAAATAAGGATACCTTTGTAAGTATGATTAGTTTGATCTTCCTCTTGAAGATGATCACTTGGTGATCGAAACACGTAGCGAGGTGTTAAAAAACGGTTTGGTGTTGGGAAAAACTCCAGTAATATTCATTATCACACCAAAGGTTCCAAACAGTGCATCTCAATTGAGGACTTTTGAATATTGATAACCAATATTACAGAAGCAGTTGATACTAATTATCTCGGCTTGACAATTGATCGACACCTAAGTTCTTCAGTTCCGCGATAAACCATCTCGATTATTCCAAGAGCCTCCACGTGTAGAGAATAATCCCGGGGTATACTCCTGGAAGGACATTCATGAACATCTGAACTTAGACACTACAGCCCTGGCTTAGTGTAGAGAGTTTCGACAGTCTGAGCAAAATGGCTTGCATAACTTGATAACTCCGAATGATGTTTGAAGAGTCCTTGTGGACTCAAGAACTTTGATAGTGCCTACCCGAGTATTTGAATGGATATATAAGCAGAGAGGGTCAAAGAGAGGAGTCGGTGGAAATAAGGAAAACCGACTCATCAGTAAATGTGTAATGCACGATACTGTTTAAGTGAAACCTCCAATTTTTTTATTCTACCTGGAAGCTATCCGACTTGTCCATTTTTTCCAAGCCTCTGGAAAACACTGCAGTTTCATAGGCTCATTGCGTTTTCCTCATCTATTTTATGACACACATTCCAACAATCTTGTGGAAAGGTACTTTTGAATCTAGGCAGTCCTAGGGTTTGTGCCTTGAAAACTAAAAAGTTTTAGGCGTTTGCTTGTTTCTCAAATAATTGATTGGAAGGTAGATTGAATACTAGATATTTCTTCTTTTCATTAGTTTGGACATCCATTGTCTAATATGATATATGCTATAAATGGTTTTTGAATCCCTGAAAAAATGTGTAAAAAATTGAAAAGATTAGCTAACAAAGAATAATTATATTATGCAAAAAAAAACTGAAATTACGATGAAATGAAATACAAGCCACAACCAAAAAATAAAAAAATTGAAGAGATGAAAAATGAGAAATGCAAATTAAAAAATTGAAAGGTTCCGAACCAAGTTACTTCACGACGTTTCGATTGTTGGTATCCACAATTGTCTTCGGACGATAACTGTTATCAAAATCGAAACGCCGTGAAGTAACTTGGTTTGAAATCTTTTAATTTTCTAATTTTCATGTCGTGTTAATAGTTCAACTTTTTTTTTGGTTGTTGCTTGTATTTTATTTCATAGTAATTTCTGTTTTTTTGCTTGATATAATTGTTATTTGTCAGCTTATTTTAAATTTTTACAGATTCTTTCAGGGATTTAAAATCAATTTATATCATATTAGACAACGGAAGTCCGAACTAATGAAATGCACCACGAAACATTGTCAACCACCTTGAAACAAATTGCATCTATTATATTCTGAAAAGATTTACAAATTTCAAACCTGAAAGCAAAGATAATCATTGAATGATGTAGATATATACAACCACCTGAAAGTGATTATATTTACAATCAATAAATATAATCACTTTCAAGTTTAAGGAATTATTGAATGAATTAAGTATTGGTACATCTATTTGCAGCAAATTTAAACAAATTTTTTTTTCTATTTTTTTATCTATTCTGACAATTGACTAAGTACTTGATTTCAGTAATATTGCGACAGAGCAGATGCTCTACACTGAAGCAGATTTAGAGGCCAGTATGGACAAAATTGAAACAATAAATTTTCATGAAGAAAAGGATGTGCTTGGAGTAAAGTTTTGGGCTTATAATGCTGGACATGTACTAGGAGCTGCAATGTTCATGTTAGAAATAGCAGGAGTGAAGGTATTTGTATATTTTGTTTTTAACAAAGTTCCATCTTATGATGACAATAATAAATATTCCTTTCGTACATTTGTAACCAGAGAGCTTGCTTTCCAAAAATTTTGTATTGAGATATGAGAAAATCATACAGAATTTAAAAAATCTCTATTTTGACGTATCCATCACCAAAAAAAATGTGTAACTTTTTAAATTGAGAAAATCAACATGAATATGCAGGTAATATTACAGCCCATTTTTAAATTCTGGCATGAGTTATTGTAGACAGGCAACTAATTTTCTTCCCTGAAAAGGTTTTCAATGGCTGGTAATCGGACAAAATTGTGAACTTTCTTTCATTTTTTTCAAAGACAAAAGACAAGCACATTAGAAAAATCTTCAAGAGCGGTGCATGTGCGAAAGGAAGTTTTCTCCGAATGAAAGAGAAAAATCTCCAACCTTTCTTCGATGTTCCAAGACTATCATCAGACAGCAAGCTATGATGGTTAAACCTCTGAAGAAGCTAGCCACTCGCGCCAGCGAAACGTCAGGAAGAAATTCCAAAAATCCACGGCTTTTAAACTCGAAAAACAATGACACTGAAAACCTCAGCCGCGAAAGTCTAAACCATTTTGTTGCAAGTGATGTTTGTGTCTTCAATTAGGAGGATGGCTCTTTTCTGGATGGAATCCAGCAGCTTCAGGGTATGCTCAGGGGCGGAGCTCCATACAAAAACTGGTGCAAACATGACTGCATAGGCTTCTCTCTGTACTTAACCATAATTTATTTCTGATGGTTATAGTGTACAAGATGAAAACTGGATTGGCTGAGACAAACACTGTCTTCCACGAAGCTTGAAATTTCTCCAAACCATATGGACTTGCACCTGAACTTCATGTGGCTCGATGAGTTTCCCAGTCTAAATTTGCTCACCCTTGCTCTCCTCATTATAACGAAATGTAAATAAGGTAGATTAATGTGTGTCTCCAATGCAGGTGTTATAGTTTTTTTTCATAAGTCCTCTTCTCTCTTTCTATCTCATGATGCTGATTGGTCTCAAGGCCTTCTACGAGTCCTTCATTCCAGGTTTTGGAATGAAGGTGGTCAGTTTGCATGTTTTGGTATGTATCACAGAGCTAAACTTTCTCTGAGGATTACACTCAGTGTTTGAAGTAGAGTTTTTTTTTGCACCAACACTGAATAAATGCCTACTGGTCCCGGCGTCTTATATGAAATAAGTTCACAGCTCTTCAATTTTCTCCGAATCTACTGATCTTTCGGATCTGAATTTTTTCAGGACTCTGGTGTTAGATTTGTAATTTCTGAACTGGGAAGTGCACCCAAAGAAGCTCTCTTGTAACCTCTCCTCCTATTTTTTTACACCCCGGCGATTCTTCTTGAGTTATTTATCGAGATCTGAGGTTCATTTAAGAGTATCTTGTAGAGTCTGGCACATACTTGAACCACATACTATAATAATAATAATAATAATTTTTATTATCCTGTAAGACAATCAAAAAGGTACATTGTGTAGGATTAGTTATAGAAGATCTTAAAAATAAAACTTAAAATATGTAGACAACTTACTGAGAGTAACACAATCATTGAAATTTTCATTTCATTATTCAATCATTTCCTGATGGGAGTAATAGCTTTTCTCTAGTAAGAAGGACTTCAGTGTAATTTTGAAGCTGTGGATAGTACTAGGGTTTTTCAGTTCAAGGGTTAGCAAATTGAATAATCACAGCCTTAATACAGTGCATCTTTACAATATGGCACTTAAAAGTCTGTCTTACGCCTAGTATTAATAGAATGCACATTTCCATTTTTCATGAAACAGTTACGGTTATCATATATAAAAACATTCAATTTGAATATATATTAGCATGGTAATATTAGTATTTTGAAATTTTGAAAAAGGCTTTACTGCTTGTATTTCTTGAGATTCTTATACATCTTATAATCATTTTCTGGGCGTCAAAAACATCTTTGCATAATGAGGATGCTCCCCAGAAAGTAATACCATACCGAAGGCGAGATTTGACTTGAGCATGATACAGCATAATCAACTGTTTCTGGTCTAGAATATGACGAACGTTTCTGAGAAGTTAATTATGGAGTTCAGTTTTGATATAATTGTTCCAAGATGAGTTTTCCAGCTGAGAAATTCATCCGCGTAAGAACACCACCGTTCACACACCTAAGAACTTCACCGTAGAGCACAGAAAAATTTTATCTAGCATAAAATATTATCGAGCGTGTTTTTCGATTAGTTAAATGTAGGGAATTTTCCCTAAACCAGGTGTTTAATTTCTGCAGGATTGAGTTATCTTTGGTTTGCAGATTTTGATCTATTTTATCTGATATAACAAGTGATGGATCATCTGCATATAGTGTGAAATGAACATATGTAGAGATGGATTCCATATTATTCACGTATAATGAAAAAAGTATAGGGCCCAGCACTGAGCCCTGTGGACACCAACATTAATATCCACATAATTGGATGTATATTTTTTTTTCACATTATTATCAACATTAATGATGAGACAAACTTGTCAGCCAGTTGAGTGCATTTGCTTGTATGCCAATATTTTGGAGTTTAACATAAAGATTTTCGTAATCAACACAATCAAAGCATTCAACCGAGGTCACAGAAGACCCCAATAGGGCACTCGCCCCTGCTAATTAATTTTAAGACGTTCGAACATAAAGAATGACTTTAAATTCTGAAAATCATATTGGATTTTGGATACAATGCTGTTTTCGTTCAAATAAACGTTCAGTCTGTTCAAAATATGACTACTTCGAACTCCTCGCATTGTCTCGTCCATTAATATCTCTTGGATTTCCTTAGGACTTTGTTATATTCAGTTAGGGAATTTTTATATTGATCCCATACTCCCGATTCTCTTACATTTTTGGAAGGCAGTTCCGGTTTATTGTTTTGTGCGTGCCGGATCTTTATTCCACCAGGAGACATTTCTGGGGAAAATTTTCATTGAACATAGAGATGATTCCTCCCTATAGTCTGACTGCTGCCAACTCTAGGTCTGCTGAATTCCTAATTTCAAAGTCCATCTCGTCTAGAGTAATGTTCAGGCCTACCTTCTAGGCTTCCCAGATAGTAAGATCAAGCCCCATCACGACGACAAGATGAGGGCACCGCCGATAGTGCATATAATAGATTACAAAACGCAATACAATATATCACTAGATTGTTTGAAGGTGGTTGACAATGTTTCGTGATGAATTTCACTAGTTCGGACTTCCATTGTCTATTATATAAAATGATTTGAAATCCCTGAAACAAGTAAAAAAGAATAATTAAAAAAGAATAGTTGAAAATAATTATTTATTAATTTATTTATTTATGGGTAACCTCCAGTTGGAAAACATGATACATCAAACATTTCAGAATGATAATATATTTTTTGAAAGGAAATATTATTGATTGTGACTAAAGTATTCTCAGTGATATTAAGTGTGAAATAGATAAAGAAAGAAATTTCAATTTTCCATAATTGCATCTGTGGGATTAAGCTTATCGAGAAGAAGCATGAATATTCATTTGCGAAAGGATTGCTGAACAGTTAATCTATTTTGGATCTGGGTATTTTGTGAAAAGTTATAATATCGGCACATACCCTATGAATACAAGGAATACGTGTTTTAGATAGAGAACAATTGTAGGGAGATATTCTTGTCCTCATTGAAAAAAATCAATGAATCAATCAATCAAAATATGTTTTAATATCAAAGAATAACATCTTATGGCACTTAAAAGTCTGTCTTACGCCTAGTATTAATAGAATGCACATTTCCATTTTTCATAAAACAGTTACGGTTATCATATATAAAAACATTTGGTTGTTTTTAATTATTGTTTTCCAAATCCTTGGGATGTTTAGTGAGTCATCCCTTTTGTTGATGAGGCCTTGCTTTTCGATTTCGATAGCTTCCCTGATTTGTGGTATTTTTGGGTTTTGCACCTGTGCTATCTGTTTTGTGGACTCAAAATTAATCTTGTGTTTTCTAGAAAACCAAGATGGTAATGGTAGTTTGGATGGTTACTTTGACGGGTGGGGTACCTATTACCTGTAATGAAATTTTGTTTGTGTTTATTTATGAGACACGCTATTTCAAGTATAAATATAGACACTATAGAGTATGTTGTGTTGCTTGAAGTGAAATCTGCACGAATCGCGAAATTTTAGTTTACAAAGGTATCTCAGGGCTTTTTTTTGTAAGACAAAAACATTTTGAAGAACATTACCACTGCACACTCCGCAGAATGGGATACCATGTCCCAAATGTGACTCTATCAAGGAGTTGGGTATCCTAGCTCGTTTGCAACAACCAGAGGACAATTTTTTATTCAAGTTTTTGACATGTTCATTGAATTTGAGACCGTTGTCGTTGTATAGTCCTAGAAATTTAGAAAAATCACTGTTTTCAATAATCTGGTGGTTTAAAGAAATATCAGCAGTTGCACATTTGAAAGACACTATCTTAGTTTTCAATATGTTGAAGGATAAAAGGTTCGAGTCGCGCCGCTCGTTGACCTTAATTATATCTGAATTAATGATATGATAAAGATAGCTTACTTATCATTATGCCATAGTATTGTGGTATCATCGGCGAACAGGGTGACATATCTTTTAATGTCAAGCATCGTCAGGTCATTAACATATAGTAAAAACAAAATGTGGAGATGTAACGAACACTTGGTTCGAATCATAACTTTCAGGTCGGAGTCAAATGGTGAGGACTACGGAACTCTCGGAAAACAGGGCTATTGAATCTGGTGTACTACAGGGTTCTGTGTTAGGCCCTATTCTATTTCTGCTATATAATAATAATAATGATATTTATTTCAAATAGGCATTCTAATGTACAAAAACAATTTTAAAATTAAATTTACAAAGTCACAGTCCAACTTCATAACACTAAAATATATATGCTCGGAATTATCCAAGCATTCAATAGAAAAAATAACAATGTAAATTACAAATACCACTAGATAATATATATGCTATTATAATATCGATGTTAATGTGGGTGTGGTATCTTCAAATGACTAGTAATGACGTCTCTGTGATTGACATATCTGGTAGTTTCACTCTATTTGCAGATGATAC